TGTGTTTTATTATTCAACTTCATGGTTAATTAAGGTGAAAAACAGAAAGAAAAAAGGAAAGGATAAAGAAAAGTTAGGCGGTAAGATAGGAAGAGAGAGAGATAAAATTAGAGAGACAGTCATAGAGGAAAAGACATAATGAGGGATAAAGAAGGAGACAGTTTGTTGAGATGAATGTGACTAGAAAGTACGAGAGCCTGAAAGAAATGTGCTTGAAGAGACAGGAGTGTCATCAGGGCTGGCTGGCTGGCCAGCTGCCAAGTGCCCTCAGAGGTGACACTTACCTTGGTGAATTAATCATGGTCCAGGATCATGAACTTGACTTTAACAGCACTAAGAAAGAACCTATGTATTGGAGGGTTGGAAAGTAGATCGTACTAACTCAGCTCCAATATTGCTATCTGATTCAAAGAACCAATGAATTAATATACAATGAGAAATGGAACTGCCAAGGAAGCCAGAATTCTCACATTACCATGTCCAGCAAATTCTTCCTTTGTAGGAAAATGTGCATAGGAAGCCAATTTATGACACAAAGCCTGCTTTGAGAGTGTAAGGGGAGGCAGTTGGATGGTTTAAATATTTGAGGGCATCAGGCTCTGGTACCTTGTGCCTCCAAATTCCCAATAGGGATAAACCTGCCACTGGCACCTCAGTGACTGTACGAAGGGCCAGGGCTTGGAATGGGATCTATCAACATATGCTTCTCTGACTGTTTTTAAAATCCTAATTTTATTTCTGAAGAGCTCATTTTGAGATTGAAGCAGACCTTTTAAATTTAAATGACCAAAGTAATATAAACTGATAAAAAATTTTGTAAGTAAAATGTAAAGATATCCATTAGTACTACCCTCATATAGTCCCATTTCAAATTTTAAACATGTTAATAGATTGATATGTACCCTTCCTGATATTTTCTATGCATACACACACACACACACACACACACACACACACACACACACACCTTTACAGAAAATATATCTGTTAGTGAGGTAAATACTGTTGACTACTCAATAC